ATGGGATCGAGCTTACAGTTTGATAGGCAGGCAGTTAGTGCTGAGCAAGTCGTCCACGTGCTGCAATGCTGCTGTCTATGTACTGGCTGCATCTTCTCAGTAGATAGATCGCGTGTTGATCGAGTGGCCGCTCAAAGTAGGCGATGCACGTACAGCACGACGGAAAGTAATAGAGCTTCTAGTTCTTATATAGAAACTCCGGGTCGTCTGTGTGCAAACTGAGCGCAAAAAGTGAATCCACGGCAACAAAGAATCTTCCTTTTTGTTATTAATTTGGTGGAAAGTCGTGTCATTCGTCGCCAATTCTTGTTCAGAATAGAACAAGCAAAATAAAATAAAGCTCGTTAGAATTATAAAACAAGTATATTTTTCGATACAATAAGGTATGTACAATCTGGTTGTGTGCCCGTATTTTTTAATTTTGAATCCGCCGTAACGCATGAGATGATGGAAAAAATTGGGTGTAACAGGTGAACTGACTGATAATTTACAAGTTTTTTCATTGTGTACGAACTATAGATACGGGGGGGGGGCCGTAATATATATATATATATATATATATATATATATATATATATATATATATATATATATATATATATATATATATATATTCATATTTATTATGGCAAACCTTATTATCACTTCATAAAATCATGAAATACACAGATCAGAGATAATCAACTATCAATTGTGACTAATTTAATAGCTGATAATAATAATTAATTCGTGGAAACGATTACCTGAAGTTAGTCTAGGATGAGCTACTAGCGGGATATAACAAGTGCATCGTGCCACGCCAGAGCCATGACTTTCAGTTTATAAAAATTACTCTGTCCATGACTGCCTGCTCCGCTTTTTTTTGCGCTTAAAGCAATAAGGGAAACCCTCCGGAAAGCGGGGGATGCTCATAGCATACCACGCAGCCGGCTGCGTGGTTATGTGGAGACTTTTACCCACTAAACAACGCTTTTAGGGACTGGCTTAACGATCTAGCTAGAGATCTTTAAGCCGTATCGAACGCGACCCCCCTGGGGTGAAAGGGGGGCGCTAGCGGCGAGTAGGCGCTGGGAAGAATTGCTGCCTAATTAAGGTAGCTTGCGAATGGGATGACTAATTAAATTGAATTTAGAAGGTGTTGGTGCTCGGTAAGCGCGAGCAGACGGTCCTAAGGGGACTGAGAAGCGCGCAGTTTGCGTGCTAAAATTGCGATCTCTCTTAAGTCGATATTGCGGATAGCAGTGTATACTGTATCTACGTTATCGGCATAAGAGGGTTCCGCCTGTTGTCGGAGCCCTGGTGGGCGAAGGTGAGGAGGCCTGTAGGGTCCCTGAGGGGGCCGATATAGGTCCTGTGGTGACTGAGAGTTGCCCTGAAGGGGCATTTTGGATGGAAGAGCCGGAAATGTACAACGTTGGTGGAGCTTTTTTGGCAGCTTTGTTGCCGTGGTTGGGGCGAGGCGCGCGAGGGTAGCCTCTGAAGTTGGCCGTATGGCCAGTCTGTCCGCAAAGGATGCAAGCGGGTGGGTACTTGGTATCACGGAGTCGAGGACACTCTTTCGAGCTGTGCGGGTCTAGGCACTTAACGCACCTGGGACGGGCTGTGCAGTTGGCCGCCGCATGCCCGTAAAGTAGGCAGCGGTGGCACTGCGCCGGGAAACCGCGCCTATAGGAGGCTTCGACTTTGACTCTCGACAGGCCGCACACAGTGTGTACCTGTCGGAATATGTCTTTAGCCTCCGGCATGTTGGACAAAATGAGGAGGGCAAGAGAGTACCTCTTGCCCCTACTGCTGTGCATTTTGTGCACAGCCTCAACTGGGAATCCCTGGGACTTAAGGTCCTCCAGGACTTCCTCGTTGGCGAATTCAAAAGGAACTCCGCGGGGGACAGCCCTGACTTTATGTTCTTCAGGGAGAGAGTAGGTGTGTTAGGGCACACCTTCGGATGTGAAGAGTTTGGTGATGTTTCTAAAGTCTTCCATAGACTGCGGAACGATTTTAATTGACTCACCAAGGTTGGTGGCTTGGTCATATTTAAAGCCTGCGTCGTAACAGGCTTTAGAAATTCTAGTAAATTGCGCCTTGTCCCTGAGGAAGACAGGGGGTGTGACCTGTCTCTTTGTGGTAGCGACGGGAGCTGCGGTGGAGCGAGCAGGCGCGGGGGGCTGCGGGGGGTGCTAGTAGCGGCGGAGGCTGCGGGGGCGCGGGCATTGGCGGCAGCGTCGCGGGCTGCTGGGACGAGAGGTATGCGAGAGGTCGCGCGTTTAGAGCCGCGCTTGGATTTCACTTCCGTGAAGGGGGTCGTACCAATAACTGATTGATCCGAGTCTGCCCAGTCCGAGGAGCAGCTACTGGATGAGGTTTGAGCGGACCTCTCACGGGTGGATGAAGTTTCGGACACTGTGTGTGAGTGCTCCATGACTTCGGAGTCACGGGCCGCTAAGAAGGCAGCGACGGAGGCCGGGGACATAATCCTTAGGGGCAGAGAGAAAAGCGGAGCGGAGGGCTTCGGCAACAGAGGTATCGTCAATATTGACGGATATGCCTGAGGCTTGAGAATGCTGTTGGATTACGGACTTAACTATGCTCAGAATTTGGTTTATGTCTATGGTGGACATGTTGGATTGACAGGGAGGTTAACGCTGTAACGCTTCTAACAAACTGGGGTTCCTTTGTCCTGAGAAAAACAAAGGGCTTGCTCTGAAAAGAACGAGCGACTCCTATTCCAAGAAACAGTAGCACAGCAACACAATATTAACAAAATAGTAACAAGAACTGTAAACAATAGAAACAACAAGAAACAATAAACAATAGAAAAAACAATATAAAGCAAGACAACGCTCAGACCTCCCCGCCGGGGCGAGGGGCAAAAACGATGCTAACAAAGAAGGTAACCAACAGCGACAGCCCTGCCGGTGCGAAGGGAAGAGCGGAGGCGCGCGAGCGAGAGGGGAGCTGCCGTACAGGGACGGGAGCGCTGACTGCTTGACACGACCGCTTGGGAGCGGTGCGGCGGCCTGCTCCGCCACTGCGCGGTCGTTTTATACCCGTTGTTGCAAAACAAGCCGAGTAGTTGAGGCGGTAAGGGAAACTGAGCGACGCGCCAGGCGACGCGATCGGTGCACCTGTTCTTTACAATTTTGCTGTACGGCGCCGCCGTCGTGCTGTCATATATATAATATTTTGTTATTATATATATATATATATATATATATATATATATATATATATATATATATATATTTTGTATTATTTATTGCATCCATATTGATAAAGTTAAGGTATTGAGAACATTTTAAGTATTAACTGTAAACAATGAAATCATTAAGGTCCCAGCAAGGCACAGCAGTTAAGAGAGAGGAGGGCCATTGATGATGAATAATATAGCAATTGTAGGTATTCTAGGTAGGCATTTAAAATTTGTCATTTAGGTATTCGTTTAGTGTATAGTAGTGTTTACAAATTAAAAATTCTTTTAGTTTATTTATAAAATTAGACTACTACAGCACCCATGGCAACGGTTGGGACTTAGGTATTCAAGGTCCCGATGTCATAGTTAACCGCAGTTACCCACATATTATAATTATTTATCTTTGTTCCGAATTTCACAGTAAGAACTTATTATATCTTGAAATCTTGCAGTTGTATGCTTGGGTTGGGATTTAATTTTATTAATTTATAGGATCCCAAGCAGGTGGTAGCACCCAGCCATTTTCTCTATTGAAATTAGGATGTTTTTGATTTTAATATCCTCGCGAATCATCCTTGGAATGAATCGGTGTTCTTTAGCCAGGATTTAGGAGGCAACCAAAACAAACACAGATCATAGATTAATCACGTTCTATAATCTGTCAAGACAAACACTGAATGATCCAACAATTAGAGTGTGATCAAGAGGAATGAATTTTGCGATAACACCGTACAAATTACCACACGAAGATATTATCGACGACAGTTTATTAAAAAAAAAAAACGTGCGAAAAGATTTGGAGGCGATATGTCAATTACGTTCCATGTTACATCAAAGTTCAGTGTCTAAACCGAATCTACCCAGACTAATTTATAGCGTTAAATAACGTACGCAATAAACCAGAACTCACGATTCTCCGCGCAGATAAGGGAAATGCTACGGTAGCCACAATCTAATATAATTATAAAATAATAATAATAATTTATAATAATAATAATAATAATAAACCGTATGGAAGGAGAAGGAGCTCCACGGGAGGTACTACAGGGCTCTACATGAGCCCTTCGTAGATACAGTCGCCTCCCTCAACTGGCTACGTTTCGGTGACCTCTTCGGGGAAACCGAGGGTTTTTGTCTGTGCAATACAGGATCAGGTTATTAAGACCAACAACTATCGGAGATACATCCTAAAGGATGGCACCGTCGACGTCTGTCGAGCTTGTCGCCATCCCGGGGAATCACTTAGGCATGTCATCTCCGGTTGTTCGGCGCTTTCTACTCTCTTGCACAGGCACAACCTAGTAGCTAGAATTCTACACCAGGAGCTCGCTCTGAAATACGGTCTCGTGGACCGGAAATTGCCGTATTACAAGTACTTGCCGGAAGCCGTGCTCCAAAATGACCGCGCCAGGCTCTACTGGGACCGGGCCATCATCACAGACAGGACTATTCTTGCAAATAAGCCTGATACTGTGCTGATGGACCGGGCACAGTCAAGGGTATTTTTGGTCGACATTACCATTCCGTATGACGAGAACCTCGTGAAAGCCGAAACAGATAAGCAAACAAAATATCTTGACCTGGCTCACGAGGTGACCGACATGTGGGGTGGACTGCCGACCGAAATTATTCCTGTAGTCGTCTCTGCAAACGGGCTAATCCCAGTCAGCCTCTCGGGTCATCTGAGGCGACTGGGACTCCGTGACGGACCGCTCCGGGCTCAAATGCAGAAGGCAGTGGTCCTTGATATCGCCCGCATCGTCCGTCGGTTTCTTTCCCTTTGTGACCGAGGGTTGTGCGCACCGTTAGAATGGCGTTTGCTGGGACAAATATCAGTTTGTCCCAGCCGGATATCACGCAGAAACTAACGGAGCGCATAGACGACCTGAAGCAAAAGATTGCTGCTTGGGGGAAGCGGATTCGCCGATTTACCGAGAGGTCAAGGCGGTTCAACCAGAATCGTCTCTTCCAGAGTGATCAGAAGAGGCTCTACAAATCATTGGAGCGACCAGAGGTATGTGGAGCGGGCCCAGGACCGGATCAGGCTAACACTGTCGCATTTTGGCGTGGCCTGTGGTCAGAGCCCGTAAACCACAGCGAGGGCCCTTGGACGGAAGTTGTGGCGAGTCAGTGTGCGAGTATTACGCCCATGGACCCCGTCATCATAACGCCGGATGACGTAGCTGAGGCGGTCCGTAGAGCCCCGAACTGGAAAAGTCCGGGACTCGACGGACTGCATCACTACTGGCTGAAGGGGTTCATGGTGGTCCGCTGTGCTCGCCCGTCAGTTTCAAGAGGCTCTCAACCAGAAGTCACTCCCTAGCCTCTTCACTACTGGGATCACTCATTTGGTTCCTAAAGACCAGGTTACCACAGATCCGAGCAAATACCGCCCCATTACGTGTCTACCCACCATAAATAAGACACTGACATCCATTTTGAGCGCGAGAATCACTCGTCACCTGGAGCTAAATCAGGTGATGTCACGCGCTCAAAATGGATGTCGGGCCGGTGGTCGTGGAACTAAGGAACCACTCCTCATTGACGCGGTCATTGGCAAAGTGGTGAAACGCAACCGTCGGAACTTCTCCGCCGCCTGGATAGACTACAGAAAGGCATTCGACTCGGTGCCCCATACATGGATAAAGAGAGTCCTCGAGCTGTACAAGATAGACTGTACAGTGAGAGACTTCCTTGAGCAGTGTATGGAGCAGTGGAGTACGATCCTTTGTCATCTGGGTGAGCGGATGATGGCTGCGGAGAACCACATAAGGATAAGAAGGGGTATCTTCCAGGGCGATTTTCTGAGTTCATTCTGGTTCTGCCTCTCCCTGAACCCTCTCAGTACTTTACTGGAGGGATCCGGGAGAGGATTTCAGCTACGGAAAGGAGGGACAAAAGTTACCCACCTATTCTATATGGATGACCTTAAGTTATTCGCCTCCAGTCGCTCCCATCTTATGGAATTGCTAAAAATCACTCGTGAGTTTAGCAGTTCCATTGGAATGGAGCTGGGGACGGATAAGTGTGCGGTCCTCCATGTTGAGAGGGGAAGGGTTGCTAACTCTGAGGGCATAGATTTATCTATGCCCGTCAACTTAAGGACCCTTTCCGAGGCTGAAACATACCGATACCTGGGTATGTCACAGAACATCGGTATCGATGAGGCTGGTGTGAAACAGTCAGTTTGCGACGTGTTTTATGCACGCTTGACCAAAGTGCTTAATAGCCTTTTGTCCGGTGTGAATAAGACACACGCATATAACGGTTGGGTCATGCCTGTCCTCATGTATACCTTTGGCATACTCAGGTGGACTCAGACTGAACTTAACGCCCTGGATAGAAAAGTCCGCACTACCATGACGTCCCATAGGATGCATCATCCGAGATCGTCGGTAATGAGGCTGTACTTGCCGCGAAAGCATGGTGGGCGTGGCTTTCTGAGCGCGCTCACTATGCATAATCGTGAAGTGTGCAGCCTCCGTCATTACTTCCTGGCGAGATCGGATGATCCAATCTATAATGACGTCATTTCTAGTGATAAAGGGCTTACCCCTCTATCCTTGGCCAACGAGCAATGGCAGGACCCAGCAGTGCTTAGCATTTCCGACCGGGAGACCGTATGGAAGGAGAAGGAGCTCCACGGGAGGCACTACAGGGCTCTACATGAGCCCTTCGTAGATACAGTCGCCTCCCTCAACTGGCTACGTTTCGGTGACCTCTTCGGGGAAACCGAGGGTTTTGTCTGTGCAATACAGGATCAGGTTATTAAGACCAACAACTATCGGAGATACACCCTAAAGGATGGCACCGTTGACGTCTGTCGAGCTTGTCGCCATCCCGGGGAGTCACTTAGGCATGTCATCTCCGGTTGTTCGGCGCTTTCTAACTCTGAGTACTTGCACAGGCACAACCTAGTAGCCAGAATTCTACACCAGGAGCTCGCTCTGAAATACGGTCTCGTGGATCGGAAATTGCCGTATTATAAGTACTTGCCGGAAGCCGTGCTCGAAAATGATCGCGCCAGGCTCTATTGGGACCGGGCCATCATCACAGACAGGACTATTCTTGCGAATAAGCCTGATATTGTGCTGATGGACCGGGCACAGTCAAGGATATTTTTGGTCGACATTACCATTCCGTATGACGAGAACCTCGTGAAAGCCGAAACAGACAAGCAAACAAAATATCTGGACCTGGCTCACGAGGTGACCGACATGTGGGGTGGTCTGCCGACCGAAATTATTCCTGTAGTCGTCTCTGCGAACGGGCTAATCCCAGTCAGCCTCTCGGGTCATCTGAGGCGGCTGGGACTCCGTGGCGGACCGCTCCGGGTTCAAATGCAGAAGGCGGTGCTCCTCGATACCGCCCGCATCGTCCGTCGGTTTCTTTCCCTTTCCCCTAACCCTCGGCCGTTTGGTCTCTCCTGCCGAGGGCTTCCATCTGGTTGGATCTTTATTTATTTGTGTATTTTTTGTATTTATTTTATTTTATTGATATTTATGTATATTTATCTTTTCATTTTAATTTATAATTATATATTTATAGAAACCAACCAGATGAGAAAACAATTTATTTATTTCTCACCACAAACGACATGGAAGATACATTAGTGTTACATCTCTATTTTAACAATATTTTGTCATTCATGGGAGACTGGTGCCCGTGTAGGTTCAAAGACCCGTATTACAGGTCACCAGCCCCCCCCCCCCGAATTTACTTGGCAACAAGTATAATATTATAAGGAGATTACTTATGTTATGGTTAGAAATAACAATATATAGAGAAAAAATAAAAAATATAAAATAAAAAATAAAAAACAACGTATTTTTGTAGCGTAAGTATGAGAGTAATGAGAGTTTGTGACTGTTAGCATGTGTGCGCGTATGTCTGTGAATATTTATGAGATAATTTGGAGTAATTGTTCTGTATCTGTGTATGAAAGAGTCTGAAGATATTCCACGACTGTCGTCTATTTTTACATGACCATCTGTTGACTTCATAAATAGATAATTTTTGGTGTAATTTAAAAAAAGTAAAGAATTTCCTAGCAAAAGATGTGAAGAAAGACACTTACTGAGCTACCAGATGATTACGGCGGCAATGTTCCTTTTGAGTTATTTTTGAAATTGTATGTTGTCTTAAAACTATATGTAGCACAAATAGTTGTCGAACTGTAAGAACTTCGCTTATTCTATACAAATCTAAAGTTGGATATAAGTAGGGTTTAAAATGGATAACTTTTAAAAGTGATCTTTGCGCACGCTCTAATTCAATAATATGTGTTTTGGCTGCACCACCCCAGACTTCAATTCCGTATGTTAATAAAGATTGACACAAAGCATAATAGGCCAATTTTAGGACTTCTCTATTAGCAACATATCTTAATTTTTTAAATATAAAAATCAATTTACGCACTCTACCACATAGGGTTTAAAATGAGAACGGAATGTTAAGGTGTCAAATAATATACCAAGATACTTGATACTATTAGTCTTCTCTAAAACGGGACAGGAACAATCTAAAGTGTTAGAATTAGCACAACAGTGAGCAATGATTTTATGCGCGTCTACAGGTAAGGATGAGGTACGGATTGCAAAAGGCATATATTTAGTTTTCTTACAACTTAGAGTTAGTAAGTTCTTCCTAAGCCAAGCACATACCATATTAAACCCAACCTGAGATTGCCGGAAGACATCCTCCCAGGTGCTTCCAGAAAAAAGGAGAGCTGTGTCGTCAGCAAATGTAATTATCTTGCCATTGTGAAGATTAAGGTTACACAAATTGTTGGCGACGCGCCTATAGGAATATTTCAGTTTATTAAGTCAACCGATGACGAATAGCTTCTAAAAGGCAAATTGTCCAATAGCAATGTTCTAATAAGAAAATGCTTAGTTAAATTTTAAAGAATGTCGAATTAATGATATGAAGGTCTTGGGTTCGACTCCCAGGCCGGACTAGTTTATTGTTTTCTTAAGTAATATCTCTTAATAAATTCAAAGGAATATTAAAGTGAAGTTAGAGATCGGATTTGTTCCCCGGTCGAGATGATCACTCTGTGCATAAATAGAATTAACGGAAATTAATTGCATAAGTATTGCCTTATATGAGTTTGATATGTTTTGTACGAAAATAAATGCCTATTTGCTATGATTGATTTATGAGAACATTCACTTATATTGTTATCTGATAAGAAACATGATAACTGATAAGAATCTGATTAGAAATAGTTTCCTACAGTTTGAAAATTGTGTAGAAGCATTTATTCACCTAATACTGTCGATATTGGTGTATATTAGACTTTTCATTTTTTCTGTTAGTCGAGAGCCGTACAAAAGTTAGTTGTTCAAATAGTGTGAGTTCACGGACGCCGCTAAGCCACGCCCTTAGGAGGCCAAATATGTAAAAATTTAAATATTTGTAATTTCAGCAATTTATGTAAAAATGACTTGTAAAACATTTCGATTGATTGTACGTGCAAAAGAGGTGAATTCTATGTTATTCTTATGTGAAAATTCCTGTGTATAAGTGAAATAATGATAGTTTTGTACAAGAAATTTAAAAGTGTTTTAATAGTGAAATGAATAGAGAAAATGTAAATTAAACTGTTGTATTGGTTAACTTATGTATAATTTCAAGTGGAAAACATTGTTTTAACTTTCTATGTTAAATATTTAAGAAATTTCGACTTTGAACTTGTGAGTAAAATAGGCATATTTTGTTAAATAAATAATAGGTTTTTTGTGATATGAAAATGTAAAGTATATCGTAGTGTAGATATTGTTTTGTGCTATCTATACAGGTAAATTATGTTGAGTATGTTTACAGGTAAATTATGTTGATGTATGACTTATGCAAATAAAGTAATTAAGTAAAACGTGAGAGAGTAATAGAACAAATTCATGTAATTGAGTTGCGCAAGCGCGCGAATGGCGCGGCTCACTTTCGCGTATAGCTCTGGGGTAGCTTAGTAAATGAGTTTTATTGCAATTCGTTCGGGAATCCTTAAGGATCTCCTAGGTGTGCGTTATTTACAGTTAGCAGTGGCTGTAAATGACCGCCGGTACGACATACTCCGCCGATCGTTGAGTCCCGTGATTCCGTGAGGCGTCGAGGTCACCGGCCCCTAGGTGATTCTTGGCACTTTATGCGCTCCGTGCATTCAGTGCCTAGTCGCGATTATAAAGTGCCACCTTAGCACTTCCCCCAACCCCTTTTGATTACAAAAGGGGTAGGCAGTGCCCCAAGTGTGGAAAGTCACCATCTCTCATATCTTATTTTAGACAGGGCCGTTTAGTTGATTACCTATGTCCGATAAGAAAA